TTTCTACAGTTCAAGGTAATTCATTATAGGTAGAACCTCTTTTCAAGCAAGTGGTGGTTCATTTTCAGTGGTGCAGATTTTAATGTCTTTGTTGTACATTGTGCATTTTTTCTACAATTATCAACTCTTTATGCAGATGTTTTCTACGATGTACAGTAACATTGTATAACTTCTGTATGGTCATTTCAGGTGGTGCTTCTTTTCTAGCATTTATAGAAATACATTTTAGTTGGTGCACCTTTTGTTGCATTTATGTTATTTCTAATGTCTGGCCCATGATTTCATTCCGCTCCTTTCTGCAGAGAGAAGCAGCCAGCCCACAGAGAGGTACAGGCCTTAAAAACAATGCAGTGTGTACAAAAATCTGCACTGGTTGTTACTAATAGATTTTAAATACAGCATATGAAAACTATATTTCTGGGCTTTTGGTAGGGACCTTATTTAATTTTATTTGAAGACCACTGCTCTAGCATTGCCGCCCTGAAGCGGGCTGAGTACAGAGCCTGATAGCGGCATTCGAACAGTCCACAGAGTCACTGAGTTTCAGTTGCACTGGTTCAGCCACTTGGCAATGTGAGATCATTTTCACCCACTGACAACTGTGATTGTCTGGATTTCGATCTGCCAAAAAACACTCCACACAGATGGCAGGAGAGAGAACACGGAGCTCGATTTCATCATCTTTTACAGGCCTTGACTCAATTGTGGACTAAATATTTCCTTAAGTGGGCTGATGTGTACTTGTTGACATGTTTGTGTGTGTGTGTCTGAGTGGTGATGCAGCCGATGAGTGCGAGAACATAGTGTGTGTATCTGTCAGCCACTCATGCCTGCGGAAGCTACATAGGCATTGTGAAGACTCGGCAGGGAGCTCTGCTCCTCTCATGTTTGCCAGGAGCAGATTTCCACCCACGGTGGGCAGGCAGGCTGGCTCAGTTGGCTGCTTGGTTGGCATTCACTGGATGACTTGGGTAGACAGGAGGGAAGGCACACAGCCATTCATAGCTACATTGTGCACATAAAGGACAGGAAAGCTGAGCTAGTTGGAAAAGAAATCTGCAGGTTTTAGGGGACAAAAGTAAAAATGTGTAATTATGCTGCAGAATTAAGCTTATTTGCTGCACAAATGCAGGCAGTGAGGATATTTATAGGTTTATTGGTGTACAAATATACCTAAGGCTATTCAAAGAGCACAACATATTGGACAGAGCCATCATTTGGGTAAAAAAATACCTAATGCAATATTTTTTATTTTCTTATTTTGGCTGCTCCCTGCAAACTAAGTTGCACGAAGACTTGGAAGTTATTTTTATGCCGGATGCCCTTCCTGACACAACCACAGACCACTGAGTTACCACAGCCCTCTGTGTGGAGCAGAGGAGCAGATGATGGGGGTTAAGGGCCTTGCTCATGGGCCCAGAGTGGGATGAATGAGGGTGGGGGCAGGTGTGGGTGCTTCACCTACCCCACCCACATTTCTGATGTCAGTACTTCCGATCACAGGCCCACCTTCTCTAACCTCTGCGCCACCACCTAATGCATAAAAAAATATATATATACAAGTTCATCCCATTGAGCCTCAGTGACTCACTTACAAGAGACCTGATTTTAATAAAAGTGATGACAATAGTGGACATCAAAGACAATAGACACTCATAAAATGATGCATACAAATTGAGAACATCATGTGAAAATAAAATGGTATTTAAAACAAAAATGTAAACAAACCAAAAAACAGCTGGGTTGTAAGGTGATGTAGAAAATTAAAAACAGGAACATGTCTGCATTGGTCCTTGCCAGGAGTCCAGCAGATTTTTGAAGCCACTTATAAGACTTACAGGGTGCATTCACATCAGCCCTGTTTAGTCTGCTTTAATCGAACTCTAGCTCGTTTTCCTAGAAAGTCCGGTTCGTTTAGGGAGGTGTGAACGCACCATCGAACTCTGTCACGGAACAAAAAGGCGAACTCTGGCCCGGGCTAAAACCTAGGTCTCGGTCCGGTAGAAGAGAACTCCAGCGCGGTTCGAGTACAGTGTGAATGTAAACAGACCGGACCCGCTCCACAGGACAAACAAACACGCATTTCTCAGACCTTATATGGAGCCGTCAGCTGCCTTGTGTGAAAAACAATATTCCCCATGGTCTTCTGTCTCATCTTCTGCTCATGCTAAGTCCATTTTTGAAAAATTACAAAATATAACTCCTAAAACTGCTAAAACTTGATGCCACTTCGTTTTTATTTTTATTTACAGAAGAAGAAGACGTGCCTTCAGAGGTTTTTGTGTCGTTTCTTTCAGTAGTTCTTGGTGCAAGGCCCCACAGGCGAGCGGGGGAACAGGTTGGTTCAACAGGTTGACTTGACTGCACAGTGCAGTGTGAATGCAAACGCACCAGCTCAAATGTAAACAGAAGGTCATGAATATTGGTCCCGAACCGAACCGAGTCTACCGGACTATCTGGTGTGAAAACGACCTTAGAGAGGTCAAAGTCGAGAGCTTCAGATCTTTTTGCAAGATATTCCAGGAAACAGAAGTGGAATAGAAGAAGGCCCTTTTCAGTCCACATTGAGGGGAAACTGCAGGTAATAATGTCCTGAGAGCGCATGCTGTAGCTGCACTCACACAACATGTAGGAAGAGATGCATGAAGGCAACAGACCAAGAAATTATTTAAAGATGAAAATATTCAGTATACAGGTCCTTCTCAAAAAATTAGCATATTGTGATAAAGGTCATTATTTTCCATAATGTAATGATAAAAATGAAACTTTTATATATTTCAGATTCATTGCACACCAACTGAAATATTTCAGGTCTTTAATTGTTTTAATACTGATGATTATGGCATACAGCTCATGAAAACCCAAAATGCCTGTCCCAAAAAATTAGCATATTTCATCCCACCAATGAAAGACAAGTGTTTTTAATACAAAAAACGCCAACCTTCAAATAATCATGTTCAGTTATGCACTCAATACTGGGTCGGGAATCCTTTTGCATGAATGACTGCTTCAATGCGGCGCGGCATGGAGGCAATCAGCCTGTGGCACTGCTGAGGTGTTATGGAGGCCCAGGATGCTTCGATAGCGGCCTTAAGCTCATCCAGAGTGTTGGGTCTTGTGTCTCTCAACTTTCTCTTCACAATATCCCACAGGTTCTCTATGGGGTTCAGGTCAGGAGAGTTGGCAGGCCAATTGAGCACAGTAATACCATGGTCAGTAAACCATTTACCAGTGGTTTTGGCACTGTGAGCAGGTGCCAGGTCGTGCTGAAAAATGAAATCTTCATCTCCATAAAGCTTTTCAGCAGATGGAAGCATGAAGTG